GGGGGGGGGGGCTTAAAACCAGAAACAGTTTTCAGACTCCATATTTTTAATGAGTTATTTTACAATTAATCTGACGTTTGAAAGTGTTGCTTCGTGTATTTTCCAGGAGCTCTGATAGCATCTCCTCCCGTGCACGCCGCAGTTCAATTGTGGTGATCCCACCGATGCAGATCTGTCCTGGTGACCTCCTCGTTTACAGCAAAGTACTGACCCATCGCAACAATCTCCTAGGTAAGTCCAAGAACTCTGCAGTACGTCTGTCTGTCATGTCCGACGCTGGCTCTGTTGCCACGTGTAAGCACGAACCAAACACCAAAGTGACGTCCACCCAACGTCATCACAAAAGTATGTTGGATAAAATGAAATTTCTCTGCTCTGTCTAAGATTTTGGTTAACCAGTCAGCCATTTTGTTCAAAAAAGCACTTATCATTATCCACGTCAGACCCTCATATAGGCACAAATTTTGTCAGTCAAGGTGAGTTTTGATATAATTTCGGAGGAACACACTGCCTCCATGTCAGTACTGAAGGTGGAGGCATTGTGTTCCTCCAAAACGTTTGTATCTGCCCACAAGTTCATGCAGCATTCCGACCCGCAGGACCAACATCGACGTCTTCACCACCTCGAGAACTTGAGAAAGATGAAATGATTATACTTGGAATTATAAGTTTTTCTCGTTGACTGTAAACATTTTATTGTAGTGGGAGTTGTTTTATAATTCAAGATGTATGAATATTTTTCTTCTCATAATTGAGTTCATTTTCCAATGTCTCTGTTTGCGTGCGAAAAATGTGGAATAAAGTTTTTAGGTTAGGGAAGGAGGCACAGGAGTTCACTAGAAAGAAACAAACAAAAAGAAACCTTGTCCATAAAAAAAAATTTTGAACTTACGAAGCAAAAGCAAACTTGTGTACATGTATGGATATTTCGAATTATATTTCCACAGTTTTACGGTCTAGCAATAAAGTTTTACCGAGCGTCGGTGAATGTGCTAAAATGTGGCAGCACTGTACGCGGCAGTTGCTGCAGAGGTGTTGGAGTGTTGCTTTGGTCCCGACTCAGGCAGCATTCTTTGAACATTTATTCTATTCAAGTTGAGTTCTTTTGCTGTGCGCCACTTGCTTTTTCATGGCTGACTGCAAAACTTCGTCCAGCACTACACTCGTGTGCGCGTCATCTGTGGTGGTTCGTTTCTTCCCATAATGATATTTGTGTTGTGACGAGATGGATCTAGTCTCTCTCTGGACTTCTTCAGTTGTAGTAACGCTGGGATTTATGTTTGTGCATCTTTATGGAACATCTGTTGAAAAATTTTCTCAAGGCATTTGAATACTTGGCCACCATCTCCACGTGAACCGAGATAATGCTTAGTGATGAAACTTTCCGCAAATGTTTGTAGCTTCTGTGACTGAGTTGGCGTCACATTCGCCCTCTTCATGCCAGATGGAATGCTACAGCAAGCTGCTGTGTGAAATTTAATGACTTTAACATGTGACTTAATGGAAAATACAAGTTAGGATAACCCCAAAAGGTCATTCACTCTACTCTATGTGCTACTAATTTAGACATTCAGATGCACTAGAAACATTTCCTGCAAGTAGCATATATTTCTTCACATTACTTTAGTGTAGAAGCCCTCGGTGGACACTAGACCCAAGGTTTGCGGGTTCAAATCTGGCCAAGATCAACGGATTTTTAAATGTGATAAAATTCTGTAGCAAAACTTCCTTCGGACGGATGTAAAGTTGTTGGTCCCATGTAGATTTACGACACGTAAAGGAAACTTACGAGCACGAATGAGATTGTTTAAGCAAAATTCATTGGTCATTTTTCACCCAAGTCTCTCCTGATTCACTACTAGATGGCTCTAGCAGACAAAATCAGGCTTGAGTAGAAATTGTGCAGAGGCAGTGGGCTGGTCACTCGCTACTCAAAAGTACACTCTTCAAGACTTATCAGAACAAGTAACCTGATTAAATGTCCTGGAACAGGTCAATAGGTCCATTCCTTGTAGTATTTGATGATGATGTTGTTGACTTTGGTGTAATTAATTTTATTTTCCCTTTTAACTTTATTCTTTAACATTTATGTTCCATTGTTTTCTTTATAGTATAAATATATTTTTGCCCTTTAACAGTCAACATTAAGATTTAAGATTTATATCTTCTCGGTTGTTGCGCTGTGTAGTCTGGTAAACCTCGACCAGACTACACAGCGCAACAACCCAGAAGACAGAAATCTTCATACTCGCCGCTGTGAAAACCTCTAATATTTTGTATGGTCCAGGGCAGCACCCAAGTGCTTTCTTGATTACCAGGACACCGCCCTGGCACTTTTTACAAGGGATGTGATCAAACTCTTAAGGGATGTGTAGTTTTGAGCCCACCGCACTTAAAATAAGACAGAAGAGAGACACTCCTCTAGAAACTTTTATGTATTATGTAGTATGATATTTGGAAATTGTACAAAATGTCTTCCTTCATTGTGAGCTGTTATTACTTAATTCTGCATTGAAATGTGTAAAGCTATCTTAAAGTGACAATGATAGAGACCTCATCACGATTCATGCTTGTCACTTTCAACCTGTGACCGCATGCTAGGCCATCGCAACACTTTTATTTTTAAGACTGCACCCGTGCTTCTTCGTAATTATTTCAGGCATAATCTCTATTTTTCCACTGTTTATCAAGATTATATTAATCTATTCGAATTGACACATAAACAGTGTCGGATGGGGCCAGTAGTTACGTAAGTTAATTCTGTCTGGTACATTCTGAAGTCAGTTAGATTCACCTCTTAATTAATCACACCCACTAAGTAAGTATAAATAAACTGGACAGTATTTGTCATTAGAATTGTTAATTTCCTTTCAAATCCATATTTGTCTTGTCAGAAGTAACTACGAGGCTCGTCCACAAAGTAAGTTTCCCTGGGGCCGTTTACAGAAACAAAACACAATTTTATGGAAATATTTATTGCAACAGATACAGCAAGTGTCCAGCTATTTTTCAACATATTCGCCACCGGAATTGAGACATTTGTCATACCGTGGGACCAACTTTTGAATACCTGTGTCGTAGAAGTCTGCCGCCTGGGATTGGAACCACTGTGTGACAACCATCTCCGCCTCTCTGTCATTCTCAAAACGCTGACGCTGACGCTGACCGGACAGGAATTTCTTGAGGTGTAGGAAAAGATGGAAATCACTGGGAGCGAGGTCCGGGCTGTAGGGTGGATGATTAAACACCTCCCAGCTGAACTTCTGCAGGAGACTTGCTGTCCGTCGAGTCGTGTGCGGCCTAGCGTTATCACTGACCGCACTTCACAGTCGGCGGGGGCTGGAATAAGAACCTCCATCTTCAACAGCTGCAACGATGCTACTGTGAGAACGCGGGAAGTGCCTTTAGTGCATGCGCCATGCTACGTCATTGCTCTATCACGTACGCACAGTCGCTTCGCGCAATATAAGGTTTGCTAGCTGTGGGACGAGTGGGAAACTTACTTTGAGGACGCGCCTCGTAATTTCTCTGGTGGTGACATAATGTTCATCGTTGACTGTACCGAGAATGATAGCGAATGAACCCGACACAGCGTAGGTCCATTACCCAAGAACAACAAGGTTGTAAAATGGCATGTTAATGCTTTCTGTTGTGTAACAGAACTCATTTTAATTGTGTGCACATTCCTGGGTATTGGAGACCTCTAAATGGATGTCTTGAAGCTGATATTCTGAAAATATTTAAAAATCAAGTGACATATTCAGCTGTATAGGATCTCGCTAGAAGATTAAAGTTGTTACTCGTACTTATGAGCTGAAAAGAAAATCTTTCGGAACTTTAATTCCCACGGATAGAAATGAGTGTTTAATAAACTGAGATAATAGGTAGCAATCCGTATTGTCAGAAATCTGAGATCTGTTACATATTTAAACATATTTTTTATAACCTGATGTATTTTTGAATGATCGTGGTTTCCATTACTTGCTGTAAAATCACAGTTATTTCGCTAATGGAGATGCTTAATCAGTTACAACGTACACAGAAGTTGAAAGTCTCATAAACAGAAGATTCTGTTGAAATGCACAGAAACATACTGAATACATTGAGCTCCCTTTCTGTACCCATTTCGATTTATATTATGTTAATAATCCTAACGCATATAACAGTCCTTAATACTGTATTTTCGCCTCACTGCAAATATGGATAATCTACCCTTAAAGTAGATTTTGAGAGTTTACTGATCAAACTATGACCTCTCAAGTTAAATAATAAAATTTCTTTCTTTTCTTTTCCTTTCTATGGGGCAACAGCCCAAAGTCGAGCCTTGGTCTCCTCCCATGTGGGAGGTTTCTTTGTCTTTTGAAGCGTGCATTTATGAGTAGTAAGCGACAAGCCCACTGTCTCTGCACAATTTCATAGTGAGTAACAATCCCACTGTCTCTGCACAATTTCTACTCAATCCTGATTTGTCTTCTAGAGCCGTCTAGTAGTGAATCAGGAGACACTCATTTCATGCTCGCAAGTTTCTTCTACATGCTGTAAATCTGTGACATGGGACCACCAGCTTTACTTACCCTCTGAAGGAAGTTGTGCTACAGATTTTTATCACCCTTAAAAATCTATCGACCTCCCCGGGTCTGAACCCACGAACCTTGGGTCCAGTGGCTAGCCACTAGTCCACTGAGTGTGACAAATAATAACATTTAATAAAGTAAAAGGAAATATTAGTAAGGGAACCGACTCTTATAAGAATTGGAATCAAAATAAATCTGTATTTAAACAAATTTCTCATTTCAGATTTGGATGGTTCCACAACAAGTCTAGCAGTATCAGATACAGGTAAATAGCAGTATTTCGTAGAGTCTATTTCTGCACTCTATACTCCACATTTCACTTATAGAAGCGACATATAAACGCATATCGCAGTCGAGTTCTTAACATTCCCGCGTCGTGTCTTGAAAATTGCAAGTTCAGATCTTTGGGCCCAGAGGCCAGCCATCCTCACTGAGGTGTTCATGATTGTTCTCAGTCCTTCCAGGGATGTTAGTGGGCAATTACCTTGAAACAGGTCATGAACAATTCCTTCCCCGACCTTTCCAATTCGTAATTTAAAGTGACCCATTGACCCAACATAACCTGGACAGATGAAACTATTGTTAAATAATCGTAGGATTCTATCAGAGATGGTAGGAATTAATTGTGTTTACTTGCGGTAAATATTTCAAGGCAATGGTTATTTTAAGTTGAACCTTGATCATTGTAGGCCCTTGCATACGAGGTGCGATCAGAAAGTTTCAAGACTGCGCGTATAAAAACCCGTACACTTATCTCAGGTATTAAATTCATCCATCACCCTCGAAGTAGTTCCCCTGGGAGTGAACACAACGATCCCAGCGCCGCTGCCAAGCCTGGAAGCATCCCTGGAAATCTTTCTTTCTCAGCCTGTCAAGCACCATCTGCGATTCTGCCTGAATCTCATCTATCGTCTCAAATCT